GAGTGTGATGGGATGGGATGGGCATTTCCAAAACACCCAATGTACAAACACTTTGCTGCTAATTGAAACTACAAGTCTGAACAGAGTTATTACTTTATTTTACTTCAAAATTTGCAAAGAAGAGAAGTAAGCTACGCGTATACTGGTGTGTTTCCAGAAGAGAAGAATCACTGTTGGGTTTCTTGTTGTGTATGGGGGCATTACTAGTAGTGGCATTAGGTCTTATCCATGTGTATACCACAAGGAAGACAATGACCTTTTTATTGGTGTCTTTGTGGAACAAGTCATACCTACAAAGACTTCTGTCAAACATGATGCTGTTAGTCCAGGAGAGAAGAACCTAATTGGGGGTATTTTGTATCAAAGTTTTAGACTGAATAAAAGAACCTGAGTTGTTTCTTTCTAGTAGTTTCAGTAACTGCTAGGTATCATTGATTTTGACATTTTTCAATGAGCAGAGTACTACAATACTAGTCCTCAACAAGCTGGAAAAGATTCTAGCCCCTATTGAATGTGACCTATTAGATTTCCTTTGTCATGACAATTGGATTGTTAAAAGGGTATCAACAAATTGTTGAGGAATTTCATGTCATATTTGGTGCCTGTATCTCAAAAAAATAGCAATCAAGTGCATGTTTGGGTTGTACCAGATGATTTCTGTGTTGTCATGCATAGCTACATAATGCAACAATACTCTACAATGCATTGCAAAATCTACTAAGAAGGTCCCTGTATGAGATCACAATGATTGTAAGAAAGAGTGAGGCTGTTCACTCACTACTAGTGCTTGTGATTACCATTGATACACATGAGCATGTTCTATTTATTCCCAGCACTTTAGCTTGAGTGGAGCTTGCACAATAGTACTAGTGGGTTCTTGTAGCCCTTTGCAATAACAATTTTTCTTCTTCTGGTACTAACAATGGCAGGTATCATGTTGATTCCACAGGTAGATCTCTGTTGCAGTCAATCACCAGAGGCCTGCCACCAGGGTCTTTATCTTACTAGTAGTAGTGACTGGTGGTTGTGCTAGGTGGGGAATATCTGGTAGGTCCATGCAGGGCCTGCTACTGCTTAGTCTCCAGTACGTAAGACCCTTGTCCAGCTTTGTAGTGAGAAGATAGTAGACGAAGATTAGATGTGCTATTGATGCTGTGGATTGGATTCCAGCAGCTGGATTGTGCTGGAAATGTTGACTAAGCCTTATTACTAGTAATATGAGTGGTACAGCAACAGATATAGTACCATTGATTTGGTAGCAGGTGGTGGGGGCATTACTTACTCTGCTAAGCAAAGCTTCAATTGACTAGTAGTAGTGTGACTTTAAATTCAACATGCAAAGTGATGGTCTAAAATTTACAGTCCTCAGTCATAGTAGAGATTTTGTTGTTGCCAATTCCATAATAAAATAATACAGGTAGTAGTACTATGGTTCATTGGTGGTTGGTTTCTTATAGCCAAGTTTGTTTCTTGCAGCCAAGTTCTGTGATTAGTACTAGTAGATCAGAGATAGTAGAGGAGTAATTGTTGTGACATACTAGTAGCCAAGGCCATTGAAGGTGGATCCCTTCTTGTTGCTTTTTTAAAAAATAGAGTAGTAGCACTACTAGTACTACTAGTATTAGCTACTTGCAGTACTAGTAGTACCCAATTTGTTGTCCTCATCCTACTGCAACTACCCGCATCATCCTACTACTAGTAG